CCATTAGCATTCGAACGATTACAGTTACGGAATTGTCTAAATAACTTGTTAATCAGGACACTACCCAAATTCAGAGTTATTTGAACGCTTTACAAAGTAATGAAATAATCTTACGCGGGCTTCAATGAAATCATGGGCTGACAGTACAATTAAGATAGATACCTGGCCACACAACCACTTCACTTTCATTCTTAACCTTCTCATAATATCCTTGTCTCTTGATATCTATAAAATAAAACTTGTACTATTAAGAAGGATGGATTGAAGAAGTTGTGATAGAGTAGCGCGCACTGGCAAGCTGCAGTGAATGCAAAAGGTTGCTAAGTAAGACAGCCGTAAAAATTGAATGGCCTTACCCCTCTCCTCCTAAAACGTGCGCTATCACTTGGAGGTGTACAGTTAAGGAGTTTGCCATTTCATTTATAGTCTTTATAGCGTATATTGCGGTCACCTTTGATTTGGAGGAAACTTAAAATTATTATACACTAGGATTGGTCCTAATGTTATAAGAGGGACATGCCAAAAGTGGGATACGATTTTAACAAGCACCTACGAACACACATGGGCATGACCAAACCCAGCACATTGTAACCATCTCGCTTTCCTCTCATCCCCTAAGAACTTCCTCAGCCTTCTCAATGCGAAGTATTACGCTTGTGACGCAACGTAGTTATTTCACATAAAATGTTGCATTTTCGATAAATACCTCAGGATCAAGAGACTTGTATATGACAGCATGCAGAAAAGCCTTCTGCACTTCTCCCTGTAGCTCTAGAGCTTGTGAAGATAGAAATGCTATGTGCTCGTTTTCACCTCCCAGTTTGCTCTTAGCTAGGAACAGCATAAGGAATTGTAAGCAAATATCTTTCAGCAAAGACAACTAATGGTAAGGGTGATGAAATTGTAGTCTTTCAGTCTCAGCGCATTTGATGTCCCGAATTTTGCTGTTAGCTACAAGCAACAGAACGAATTGTTCGTAACAATCTTACGACAACAACAACTAGTGGGTAGCTAGATAGAGGGATGAAATTATGTCCTACAGGGCCCGATGCATTCAGTGTCCCGAATTCAACTCCTCCACGTTTTGTAACCAGCTAACGGGCCAGCCTGCTAGCAGTTTGGATTCCTCGCGTTTTTCATGATCCAAGTTATATGCAAGTTATCTTGGATCACTCATACTGATCAGATTATGCCAAAGGAATGCAACCAAGGGTGACGAATACTTTAGTCTACGCTGCAGTAAATTACAACAGTTGCAATAGCAACTGACAACAACAACAAACTAAAAGTCTGCCGAAACCGGAATCCGTATTACACTTCTTAAAGACAAGACTAAGAAAGTCATCTCACTATTGCTGTTTCCTTAGTGAACAGATCGCCAGGAAACCTACTCTCCTATTCTCCTCTTTCCGTTCCTGTTCTGTGACTGATGTGTGGTGTAGGTAAAACCTGTTGTTTACGTTTTACATTAAAGTAAAAGCTTTATTCGTCCAGTTCTATACTCACCATCTCTGCAATCTCGTAAAACGTGCTGTACGTAATTCTGAAAGTAAAGTGTATTGCCGTGGTCACAAGAGTAAGCTAACTTGGTGTCAACTCAAATATGTTCAGGTTAAGTTTCTTTAACCAGGAAGAAAGGTACTAACCAAGCGAAGTAAACATTCAGCTCGCTTGCATAGAATAGCGGCGACCAATCCAGGGGAAGAATCAGCTTCGAGGCGCCGTAGTGCCACAGTATATAGCATGGCAGCTGTACGATAGTCTTTGATTACCATGAACTGTTCAGCGTTGTTCAGCGGGGTTTCCACTCGATTAGCTGACACAAGAGCCGAGCTAAGCAGGGCCTGAAAATAATAATAATAAAAAAGAATCGAAAAAAAGTTTGGACTGACTCCGGCTGAAGCTTACAAGAACCGATAATAAAAACAGAAGTGGGTTGTGTTACCATGATGTACTGCCACTCGAATCATGTCCATCACCTGGCATTATTTTTATACATTTTTTTTCGGTGACTATGATGAGCGATCTTCATAATAACAAAAGCTAGTATTAAGTGTTTCAACACTGTAAAAACATTCATCTTGTACATGATATGAAGAGGTTTCGTTCACCAAAATAAATGGACAAAAAGAGATATGTCAAGTGTTACGGCTAGAGCTGATATTCTTACAGTATGTTGATGGGGTGAGTGCTTCGTGGAGGGCGCTAAATCGATTGTGCTCGTGTAAAAGTGAACACGAAAAGTGGTTATAACGAGATGATGGTGTTGCAGGGTCTTTCACTGTCAGTATTAATTCATACAGAATGGTACAGCAACAAGAACACCAATAACAGACAAACAAGCAAGGTATATTTCAAAATGAACAAAAACAGATACGATATATACAACAATTCTTATACAAACCGGCGATATTGTGAAAGGTAAGTCTGCGAGCCCTGCATCAAAGGAGGCGGAACTGTAAAAAAAACTTCCAATTAGGACAAAATGTTCTGACACATATATTCAATGCATCATAAATACTCTTGTTTTTTGGCCATTTCAATTTAACAAGAAATAAAATGCAAACAGCGGCAACAAACATAACACATGAACTACGCATGGTTTGGAACAACAATCTAAAATTTTC